CTATCCCAGTTTAGTTTATCATCTATCATAATATCATATTATGAAAGATCATAAAATAAACTGGGATATATAAGACCCAGATATTTAGTTGTACTGACTCTAGATAGCTGAATGTTATTGATTTTTAGTGATATTTCTGAGATAACCGTGTTTTTTTGCTTGAATACCATATATGCATATAGACAGTCTTCTCGGTATTAATATTTAATTTATTATAATTCAACAATTGAGAATATTTTCGCAAATCATCATTAATCATGGTCTCCAAAAGATCTGTATCAGTCCCACTAAAAGTTAAGACTGTATCATCCGCATAACTATAATATCTTCCTGTTAAACCTGCCTGACTTAGTGATAAGACATGCAAAACTTAATAGTGACCCTAATACAGAGCCCTGGGGCACCCCATATCCGATAATTGTTTTTGTGCTGTGTTTTCCCCCCAAACTAACAAACTGTAGTCGATTCTTCAGATAAGTCGAAACAAGAGAGTTAGCTTTATCTGTTATTCCCATCTGCGCAAGTTTATTTAATAAGACTAAGTGGTCAACCACATCAAACGCTTTTTTCAAGTCAATGAATATTGCAATTACAATATGTTTGCGGTTGATTTCAGTGCTTATGTGGTTGATCACGTCAGTAGTTGCTCATAACGTGTTGCACCCCTTTAAAAACCCATATTGAAAAGAATCAAATTCAACATAGTCTTCAATAAACCTTGTCAATTTTGATCTCATTAAGTTCTCAATGATTTTCGAGAATATGCTAATAACAGTAATTGGTAGGTAGTTTTCAACCCTGGTCATATCACCCGATTTATGAATTGGAGTGACTTTTCCAACCTTTAGTATCTCAGGAAATATGCCAGAGGAAAAAACTGAAATTTATTAGGTTTGTTAAGATCGGTAATAAGTTATCTTTGATATACATAATATCTTGACAACTTATACCATCACTTCCAGCCGCAGAGTTTTTTTTTAAATTACTAATTACCTTGTTCCGTTATTTCAGAAATTTCTATGGCATGGTTAGTGGTTATTTCCCTAAATTGATAGTTATTTTGGTTATCCAATGAATTGACAATTGAATGACCAACATTTGTAAAATAATTATTTAATTCATTAGCTATTGCTAATGGATCAGTTTCAATTGTAAGTTTCAGTTTCAATTGTAAGAGTTGTAGTATAATTTGCTTTGTTTTTATTTAATAGTGAATTAATTATTTTCCATTGTTTTTTGTTTTCTTATTTCCTTAGTAATTCTAAGCTTTAACTGTTTAAAGTTATTTTTTAAGATTTCATTATTTATATTTAACTTCTGCAGATCCATTAATTCTTTATATAATTTATTTCTTTCTTTTATTAAATTTAAAATGTTAATGTTCATCCAATTGTTACCTTCATGGTGTCTAATATTAATACTGTACGAAGCTCTAACCTTACATTTTATGATTACATCTACTAGTGTTTCAAAAGAGTCAATATTTTCACTACATGCTGTTACAAAACTTTGCTGAAATGTCCTTTGATTAACTAACTTTATTACCCTTTTAACTTTTGGTTTGAACTCCGTTATTAAATTTACATTAAGACTAACATTTAGAGGTTTGTGATCTGATATTGCATACTCTAGTACCAATGTTTTGCAGCCTATTGACTTATTTACTAGTACATGATCAATAAGTGAAATTGAATTATTTGCTATTTTTGTAGCATTATTGTTATTTATAAAGTTTGTTACATTAAACCCACACATTGTAACTACATTTAAGTAATCTATTTTCTCCTTACCGATCTCGCTCAGCAAATTAACATTCATATTACCCAATATCACAGTTTTATGTTTTTTGCTCAACAACAAATTTTGAAACATATTAATAAAATCTGCAAAAAGGTATTTTGGAGGTCGATACATGGCAATTATTTCCATGTTAATACTAGGTATATTAGACTGGGCCAAAAAAAATCAACTATTTTTTTTTGAAAAGTATATCGAAAATATGGTTTGGGGTGACAAAAAAAAATTATTGTGAAAGTTTGAGTCCATATTAATAATATTAAGAGGTCTATCATCGCAATTTTAATTTTTTTTTTCCTCAGCAAGGTTTTGTCTCAGAACTCCCAAACCATTGAGTTTAACAAAATTGACTTAAAAATATTTTTTTAAGAAAATTAAATGCTCTACAAAAAAGGTTAAAGTGAATTTATCCGTCAGATGGACCGTTTCCTTAAAATCATGCCTTAAAAATTGGTAGTTTTACATTTTGATCTTTTAAATTGGAATTTTGTAATTCATGTAAAAATCAGTATCCATAAAAAACCGATAAATATTCTTATGGGAAATCATATGCTTTACAAAAAAAGCCTCTTAACATTTTTGGCTAAATTCACAATCAAAAGTTATTCAAGGTTAAAATTTCGTTTTGACTTCAAATTTAACCTTGAATAACTTTTGATGGAGTGAATTTAGCCAAAAATGATAAAAGACTTTTTTGTAGAGCATTTAATTTTCCATAAGAATATTTATAGTTTTTTTTTCAGGGTACTGATTTTTACATTAATTACAAAATTCCAAAGTTAAAAGATCAAATTGTATAACTATACCAATTTTTAAGGGATGATTGTAAGAAAACGGTTCATCTGACGGGAAATTCGAATAAAACCTTTTTTGTAGAGCATTCAATTTTCTGCAAAAAATATTCCCAAGTCAATTTTGTTAAACTCAATGATTTGGGAGTTCTGAGACAAAAACTCGCTCAGGAAAAAAATCTAAAATTGCGATGATAGACCTCTTAATATTAATAATATGGACTCAAACTTTCACAATAATTTTTTTTTGTCACCCCAAACCATATTTTCGATATACTATATACTACAAAAAAAAATAGTTGATTTTTTTGGCCCAGTCTAAGGTATATTAATTGAAATAAGGTTGTATAGCATGTTGCCTTCTATAATATTATTGATTTTATAAACTATGTGTTTTTTTAGGTATATAGAAGTTCCCCCACTTCTACCTTCTCTACTCGAATGAACAACATTAAAGTCCCTTAAATTAAAATATACGGTTTCTTCTTTTGATAACCAGGTTTTCGTTAAAACTAATATATCACAGTCACTCTTTCGTAAAAAACAGCAGAGTTCGTCAAATTTATTCCTTACACTTTAAATGTTCATGTATTGCATGCAGAACTTTTTGTCTTTTGTCATAATGCACCTTAATTTTTTAAGTCTTCTTCATCCTGCACTAGTATGGTTTTGCTATTTTCACTTTTCCTCAAATAAATTTTCCCATCTTTTATCCAGACAAATTTGTATTCGTTTTCTTGCCTAAATGCCCTTGCCTTCTTATAAATATCCTTTTGTATTCTGGTTAAGTCCTGATCCACATAGATCAGGGCCGGATTAAGAGTTTTGAGGCCCTGGGGCCGATATTTGGTGGGGCCCCTCAATATTTCTAAAAATGTTGACACTTGGGAAATTAAAACTCATTGTTAATTTTTAAGCTAAAGGAACTTTACGTGATTTTTTATTATCTGAATCATTTATTATATAATAAATTTTAATAAAATCGGCCAAAGCGTTTTTAAGCTATAAATAAAAAACGAAACACCCTGTATCTCGATAATGAAGCAATTTCGGACACGTGTTTATAGGAACTTTTTTTCATATTTTGATGAGAGGAATTTCCCCTGAGCTTTTGTCACCACAAGTCTAAATCACCCTGTATATTTTGAATAATACGAACATAACCTTATATACATTTTACCCAAGTCTGAGAAATTATAAATTCGTATGCAAAACTATAAAAACGTAGATAGTAGAATATAATTGTGAATGAAAGTGTTTTTACATACTTTATATTTTATATATTTTGAATAATACGAACATACCCTTATATACATTTTACTCAAGTAAAATATAAATTGATCTATGTTTTGTTTGTATTTTTAATACTTCCCGCAAACTGAAAAAAAGTGCATCAAAAGTCGTATTATTTGTCTGTTTTTTATACAAAATCAAACAATAAAACAATCTTTTGTCCAAAGAAAAGCACGAAACAGTATTTCGGAAACACCGGAGAATATTCCACAACACTCCAATGTACCAATAACTGTAATATTAGATTATAAGTAATTGACTGTTTGACTGTATTTACAAAAACGTTACGACAAGCACTAAAGGAGCAACTGCTTAAAATTGTTATGAGTCATAACTTACGACTATAGACTATATAAAAACGTCTTCGCGCACCAAAGCTTTGAGTGTGATAATTTACATTCTGATTTGCAAGCGGATAAGCGATAAAAAATCCGCGAAAAATTAGAGTTAGATCTACGAAAAATTAATTGAAAATTACAGGATTCGCGCGGTATAACCGACCCAATTTTTTGTTTTTTTGTCAATTTTTTTCATATTTGTTTCATTAAAAAGCTACATATTGCATTGGTGGGGGTCCTGGGGCCGTGGCCCCGCTGGACCTATGCTAAATCCGGCCCTGACATAGATATATCCATATGTTTCAGGATTATTGTTTGTATAACCCAGATCTTGTATTTTTAGTTTGTCTTCGTGTTCCTTAAAACATACTTTTATTGGTGCAGGATGTACATCACCCTTTCCCAATCTGTATGCCTTCTACTTGCAATAAGTTTCCCATTTTAGTTACGATTTCTTCCAGGTTTTCACTTCCAGTCACCTGAGGTATTCCTTTAATTAGTATATTGTTCTTCAGTTCCTTTTGTTCCCGATTATTTATTTCACGTGTTAGTTTTTTTGTAGATTTTGAACCTCTGTACGCAGTTCTATGTTTTGTTTTTGCTGCTCTTCGAATCTTTGTTACAGATCCGTATAGCGCCTATCCATTTCAATATATCTGCTATCCATTGCATTTAATTGTCTCATAACATCACTTATTGTATAGGTATTCTTCCTCCTTTTCATCTAGGTTTCTCTTTTTTACGGAGCAATTTCCATTGTTTACTTGTGAGCTAACCTCACTTTTGTCACATGCTGTACATTTGAATCTATCTCCTTTTGGATTTCTTTTCTGATCGTCAAAGTAATTAAACCTTTCTGTTGTCATAGGGATGCACTTTTTGTGATACCACTTTTCACATATACCTAACACAGTTAATCGCGTATGTATTATTTCCATGGCATTTACTTATCGTAAGTATATGATTATTGCACGTTTTTGAACAGGTTACACACAGGTACGCCATATTAAAACGTCTTATTAAATAATGAAGAAAGAATTTTTTAAACAATTTTCTGGAATTTCTGGGGGTCTTTAGATAATACACCTTCATTTTGTCGCACTAATTGTGGGACACCCTGTATAGAATACTTTATACAGTGTGACCCATTTGTTTGCGACTCACCCCTGTAAAATCTCTATTTATTGTGCGATTTTAACCGGATTTGTCTTAAAGTGTAGATGTTGATAAACTGTATTTTTGGAGTAAAAGACGCCATATTAGTACAAAATACAAGGCCTACTATGTCAGTTTTTTAGAGTAAATGTTTAAGAATTCATATTAGCAATTTTTTAAACAAAATCTAAGCACGGCACTGGATTCACCACCCCTCAAAACGACCCTTTACTAAATTTTATTGAAAAATTTTAAGTAGAAAAATACACAATAATAACCACAAAAATTTATTATGTCAAGCTATCCATGAAAAAAACATTGAACAAAATACAACTTACAGTAATAGTACCATGTTACTATTAGTTTAATTTTATTTCAATGTTTTTTCATGGATAACTTGACAGAATAAAATTGTGTAGTTATTATTGTTCATTTTTCTACTTAAAATTTTTCAATAAAATTTAATGTTGGGTCGATTTGAGGGGTGGTGAATCCAGTGCCGTGCTTAGATTTTGTTTAAAAAAATCGCTAATATGAATTCTTAAAAATTCATTCTCAAAAACTGACATAGTAGGCCTTGTATTTTGTACATATATGGCGTTTTTAAATACAGTTTATCAAGATCTACACTTTAAAACAAATCCGGTTAAAATCGCACAATAAATAAAGATTTTACAGGGGTGAGTCGCTAACAAATGGGTCACACTGTATATAGAATTTTATGGAAAATTTATCGCGATGTGGTAACGTAAAATTAAATGTTTTGTAGGAACGACAGTGAAGTTGTAAATAAGGAAATAATGGCAAAAATAGTCCTTCCAAAAGCAGGAAAAGGTAATTGATTTTTTATTTTCTTTTTTTTTATTACTTTAATAAGCGTGAAACTTTGAATAACATAAGTCTAGAAATAAGTTTTGATAATAAATTATTTAAAAACTTTTCAAGAATGTCAAAAAGTGACTTTGAGGCCTATTCCCTTTCGCTAAACATGCATGTTCATGAACTACATATGTTTCGTAACATAATGGGCCTATTCCCTTTCAATTATTTCGTCTATAGACGTGCTCAAAGAATTTCTTAAACATCCATGTTTATAAACATCAACGGTGTTTAAATGGCTATTCCGTTTCCAAAATTCGATTTTTGGTTCTACAAAAGTAGGCAAAAAGTACGTTACTGTATGCTAGAAATTAATATAAATACACAATATTATTTTTTTTGTCCTCATACTTCAATAGTTACTTCTTTATTATAGACAACATTTGTTTTTAATTATAATTTTACAAAATTTTTATTTTTCCAACAAGTACATCTCAATAATCATCACCATGGACTGTCACATCAGACGTTTTGAAACGCAAAATGTTATTTTCCAGTTAAAGATACAAGAATAATACAATCTTAATCAATAATCTAAACTCTGGCCTATAATTGATTTAACTTATTTTGGTTATTTTCAAATTTAAAGCTAAAGTTCTGTCACACCAGTGACCAAATTTATTTTTTTAGAGTAAAAATAACGATGTCCATGGAAATGATCATTTCCATGGACATCGTTATTTTTACTCTAAAAAAATAAATTTGGCAACATTGTCTATCATTATTTAGCGGAAGGGAAGATATCGCCATCACACTGATGATCACAGTAACTGTTGTCAGTGAAGAGCAACGCGAGTAATGTGTGTCACGTGATTATTTACTACAAGAGGCCAACACGTGGTTTTACAGGTGCATATTTTTTGTTTATATATTTTTTGTATTTTTATTGCTTTAAGCTGCTTAAGTTGAAGAATATAAACTTGTAATACAAATATTTTTTCATGTATAAATTATATTTTAGTAAAAGTTCCAGAATATATTGTATTATTTTCAAAACCATTGTGTCTTTTCCTTGATATTAGTTAGTTTTACCTTAGTAAATATTTTAAAATCATATATTGAAAACCGCGAAGCATTTGTTAAAGTTAATGGTTTTAAGTCTAAATGTTTTACTCAAAGTTCAGGAGTACCCCAGGGTTCCAACTTGGGACCTCTTTTATTTTTGTTAGTTATTAATAATTTACCAGAAAACTCAATATCGTCAAAATGTTTGATCTATGCTGATGATGTAAAAATTTATAAAGAAATTAACTCTATCAGGGACAGTGAGTTACTGCAAAAAGATCTTGACTTTATCGTGAAGTGGTGTGATCAAAATAAACTTATGATAAACGCCCAAAAATGTGCTTCAATGACAATAACAAAAAAAATGCGTGCTATTAACCAAGATTATTACATAAATAGGACAAAACTAAAAAAAGTGGTTATTAATCCTTTTGACTACAAAACAGAGTATAGGACAAGTCAACAATTATTTTACAAAAGTATTAAATATAAATATTAAATATAAATACAACCTGTATCATGCAGGTACTAAATAATGAGCAGTAATAAATAAACAAACAACAAGTAAAAAAACATAAACACTTAATACAATATAATACAATAACGAAATGCATTGATTAAAATAATAAATAGACAAAATAGATATTAAAAAGCATACATATGAAAGTCCCTTATAGAATAAAAAGCATTTGCTATTAAAAACTCTTTTACACACTTAAAAAATCTTTTAAGTGGTAAAACTTTCCACTCAGCTGGTAATATATTATATAGTACTGGACCCATATATAATGGATTGAATTCGAATAAGCTCATTCTATGACGATCATGTTGCAAATTAAAACCATGTCTTGTCATATATGTGTGATTTATGTTTAACGACTTAAATTTGTCCATATTATTCCTTACAAACATTAGGATTTCATATATATAAATACAGGGTACAGTAGGGTGGCCCAACAATTTTTAATTTACCCTACACCTCAGGGCACCCGCTAAGTTTTTTACTTTAGTTGATAGTAGTAAAGTTCCAAAATTTCAATGTCCTAGGTGGAGTAGAAGGCTATGCTCAACGTTTCCAAAGTTTTAAATGTTTTGTTATTTCTTATTTTATAAATATTTATTTATTTATTTCAAGGTGCTGTTTTTGTGAAAGAAATGTCAAGAAAATTGTATAAAAAAGTTTAAATAATTAGAACTGTCAATAGTTATTTGAGAGCAGGGATGCCAGAATCTGTCAAAAAAATCCCCTTGTTTGAATGCACCTTAATTACGAATATGACACATTGATACAATGCAAATTGTCAATTGGACGTTATTCATTATTGTTAATTATGTCATTTTTGTAATTAAGTTTCTGGCATCCCTGTTTGTGAGGACTGCTTTATTCAAGTGATTATTTTGAATTTTGAATATGGTTTTGTCATCACCTGCAACACGTCAAGCGAACACTATATTCTTGATAGGTGTCAAAGATTTAGAACCAATATCTAGATTTAATCAGTTACAAACTGTAAGGCAAGTTCTTCTTAGATTCCATTTTTTCCTACAAGAAAAAAAATCTGTTCGAAATGTAAGTCGCTGTAGAAGAACTAATTTTAGTGTGGCAAAAGACTGCTATCCCGATTAGACTTTTCAAACATTGTATTGAGAAGCTTGAAAAATTCCACTCTGAATGGCTTCTGTTGAAAAAAAATAAAGGAAGAATCTCTGATACCCAAAAGAAACGTGAAACACTATTTCAAGAACAGCTAGATATGGTATTTGATATTGCTCACAATGATGCACTTACTATGTGCAAAGTATACGAAGACAGAGAATTTTTAATACATCAGAGGAAGGAAAGAAAAATGATTATTTCATCAGAAGACAAAAAGTACAACGAGAAACAAGAAAGAATTCTTCAAAGAAAAATGAAAGAACAAAAGAAGCTTGAAAAAGGTATAGAGCCAGGTTCGTCTTCCATGATGCCTGCAACCGTGACTATTTCAGAATCAGAAGACGAATCACCAGAACATTCTGATTCAGCCAGTTTTAAGAGATGTATAAGCCATCATCATTATCATCTCTAAAAAGAAGGAAATCCCAAACAGACTCGCAGACTGAACCAATTGCAAATAAATCTTTATTTTCTACACATGTCACTAGCGCTTTAGATCGAAATAAGGTTTCTGATAGGGAAGCCTTAAGATTAATGGTTCCTATTGTAGCAGCATTGGGACATGACCCTAGTTCATTGCCATTATCTCGAAGCACTATTCAACGCAAAAGAAAAGAAGGCAGAAAGGCTGTGTTTAAGGAAATAAAGCAATCTGTTACTTTCGACGATCCAGTTATAGTTCATTGGGACGGAAAGATTCTTTCTGATATTTTGGGCAATGAAAAAGTAGATCGTTTGCCCGTGTTAGTATCTGCAGATGGTAAGGTAAAACTGCTTGGTGTGTCAAAACTTGTAAGTGGTACTGGTGCAAATACAGTGAATGCAGTTTATAATGTTCTAACTGAATGGGGTTTGGAGAACAAGATAGTTGGCATGTGTTTTGACACTACATCTGTTAATACAGGGTTGAAAAATGGAGCTTGTGTTATGCTGGAACATAAAGTTGGAAAAGAATTATTATGGCTAGCATGCAGGCACCACATTTTGGAGATTGTTCTCAGTAAGGTATTTACTCTATGTTTCGGACCATCCAGTTCTCCTGACATTCCTTTATTCAAAAGATTCAAGGCAGCATGGCCCTCTTTACACCAAGAAAACTACAAACCATTGGAAGAAGCTCCTGGAAGTGAAAATTTCAAGCTCTCTGCAGTAAATGCTTTATTAGTTGCC